TGCAGCTGTTTTCTTTCACCTTGCCTAGCCAGCCTTTTTTTTCTCTGCCTCCCCCCCCCTTCATGTCTACATAGGAATTATAGAGGAGGAGGAGGATGGGCAGAAGCAGCCCCTTCCTTCAGCTAATCCCTCTCCAGGTCTTCAAGGACTAGGAGCCTCTGTGATGTCACTCTGACTCTCCAGACGAGTTAGAAGTGAATTCAGAGATCAACTTGATCCCGCTTACATCATTCCTGCAGGATTTGCATAATCTCTCATTGTACTGTTGGGAATCCACCTCCCTTCTAACCTGGTGCCTTCGATCCCGGAGTGACCCCCATTCGCAAGGTTTGGGGGTCACTTTTAAAGAAAAAAGACGAAAGTGAAAAATTTGAAGCATGATTTCTCTGTCACCAAAAAGACAATTGCAAAGCATGAGGATGGAGCTGGCACAGAATGGAGGATAGTACAGATAAGTCCTCGGCTTAGAACAATTGATTTAGTGACTGTTCAAAGTTACAACAGAGTCACTGAGAAAAGTTTGATTGATTGATTGAGGTTGGAGACCGGACAATAGTTAGCCAAAACAGCCGGATCCAGAGCAGGCTTCTTGAGGAGGGGCCTCACCACCGCCTCTTTCAAGGCGGATGGCAAGACACCCTCGCTCAAAGAAGCATTGATAATACCCTGGAGCTAGCCTCGCGTAACCTCCCGGGAGGCCAGCACCAACCAGGAGGGACACAGGTCCAATAAACATGTGGTCGCGTTCAGCCGCCCCAGTATCCTGTCCATGTTCTTGGGAGCAACAGGGTCGAACTCCTCCCAAATGGCAGTCTCAAGACCGACACCCATCATCCCGTCTGTACCTACCGAGTCAGAGACCAAGCCTTCCCGAATCTGAGTGACTTTATCGTGCAGATACTGGACAAAATCCTCGGCACGACCCTGCAAGGGATCCTCCCGCGCTCCCAGATGAAGGAGGGAACGGGTCAGCCTAAACAGGGTGGCCGGGCGATTATCTGCCGATGCGATAAGAGCGGAAAAATAGTTACATTTTGCCGCTTTTATCGCCACTAGGTAAGTCTTAATATGAGATCTTACCAGTGTTCGGTCGGATTCGGAGCGACTAGATCTCCAACTGCTCTCTAGGCGTCTTTTCTGGCGCTTCATCCCCCTCAGCTCCTCGGAGAACCAAGGAGCCAGGTAGACTCGGCGACAGGTCAGAGGCCGCACAGGCACGACTCGGTCCAAAGCATCAGCGGCCGCCCTATCCCAGGCGGCCACCAGATCCTCAGCCAAGCCATGAGTCAGAGTCTCAGGAAATGGCCCAAGCTCCATCTGGAACCTATCAGGATCATACTCGCGGCATACTCATATTGCCTGGTACATTGACCAGGGGCGGACATGGGCAACGCGGACGCACTCAGCCGATGCCAACTACCCGACAACCTAGAGGACCCCACACCCGGCATTCCAATCCTGCTGATAGACGTATTGGACTCAGGACCCATTACATCAGCAGAAGTAGCGAGAGCTTCAACCAAGGACCACGTGATCCGGACGGTCGCAAGTTGGGTTATGAGGGGGTGGCCGGAAAGGATTGGGAGCGGGGAATTTAAACAGTTCGCGAACAAACGGGACGAGCTAACCATGCAAGGGGGTGTCTGCTATGGGGCGATCGGGTCATTATTCCCTTGTGCCTAAGGGAGAAAGTGTTAATGTTGTTGCATGAGGGGCACCCTGGGATTGTTCAGATGAAGGGGCTAGCCAGGAGCTACGTCTGGTGGCCCAATATGGATGCAGACATTACCGAGTGGGTGGGGAGATGCCAGCCCTGCCAGGAGTCTAGGCCAGATCCGCCAACAGCACCAGTGAGGGAGTGGGAAAGACCACAGGGACCCTGGTCCAGGATCCACATAGATTTTGCCGGCCCGTTTCACGGACAGACCTTCATGGTCATCGTAGATGCATTTTCCAAGTGGCTGGAGATTAAGCTAATGAAGGCCACTACCACCGACACAGTTGGTTACTTCAGATGCCACATGGGACTGACTGACCATGCAGAGCCATGCCAAGATCCTTGCTGAGGGGGGGATTTGGGGGAATGCAAAGGGAGACCCCCCAGACCAGGCTCTGCCTGCAGCTGGCCAGCCTCCTTCCAGGTAGGGAGGGGTCCAAGTCCCAGATGGCAGCTTGGCCGGGATGGGGTGGCAGGGGTGGGTTCTTTTTTTTTTATTATTTTTTATTTAATAAACAAACATACATATACAGACGTAGACATTTAAACAAACTATACATAAACTAACTATACAGAGAGGTCAAGTCTTACAACTTGAACTTTAAAAATAGAGCTACTTCGGTAGTTATATATCCATATATCTATATATATTTATCTTTCATCATGTATCAATGTTTATACAACGATATTTCATTTTATTTCCTTATTTTTGTATCATTGGGTGGTATTCCCTTATTTCGTGTTCTTTTTATCTAACCAGTTGTACCATTTCTGCCAAATTAAGTAATAGTCTGAATCTTCTTTTCCCTGTATCTCTTTGGTAAGTTTGTCCATTTCCGCACATTCCATTGTTTTTTGTATTATTTTTTCCTCTGATGGCGTGTTCTCTAGTTTCCACATTTGTGCGAAAGTGATTCTAGCTGTGGTGAGGATATGTATTATCAAGTATTGTGTCTCTTTTTTATAGTCCTTTGTCAGTATTCCTAATAGATATGTTTCCGGTCTGAGGGGCACTTTTTGGGTGGTGATTTCTTCCAGCTGATTTTAAATTGTTTTCCAAAATTTTTTGACCTTTGGGCATGACCACCACATATGGTAGTAGGTCCCCTTCTGTGTTTTACACTTCCAACAGTTCTGATTCGCATTGGGGAACATCCTTGCCAGACGTGCAGGGGGGAGATGCCACCTATAAAACATCTTGTAGGTATTTTCTTTGTAGGGCACGGACATTGTCAGCTTAGTATTTACTTTCCACATTTTCTCCCAATTTTCTAGGTTAATATTATATCTAAAATTTTTAGCCCAAATAATCATATTTTCCTTCACCACTTCTTCCAATTTGTATTTTAATAGATAATTATATATTTTAGTTATTAATTTATTGTCTGATTGCATTATAATTTTATCTAATTCATTTTTTTCTTTTTGGATTCCAAATTTTTTCATGTCGATTTTATATCTTGATTTTATCTGTAAATACGTCCACCAATCAATGTCCGTGCCCTGCTGTCTCAATTCTTCTCTTGTTTTCATTTCTCCCTCTGTGTTCAACAATTCGTCATAGGTTTTCATCTTGTCTATATCCATTGTGTTCGGATAAATTTGGGCCTCCATGGTTGATAACCATCTTGGGATTTTATCATAGTGTTTTCTCCTTATTTCAGTCCAAATTTTTGCCAGTGCTCCTCTGATATAGTGTCTCCTGAAGTGCTCATGTTGCCTGGGTTTTTCCTCCCATAAGAATGCGTGCCAGCCTTTCGACAGGTCAAATCCTTCTAATGCTAGCGTTTGTTTATCTTCGAGTGTCATCCAATCTTTGATCCAAGTTAAAGCTGTTGCAATGTAGTAAGTTTGTCAATCTGAGAGTCCCAGGAGGGTGGCAGGGGTGGGTTCTACTTACCTTTACTACCGGTTTGCAACGGGGCTGCGTGCACTCGCTTCGCTCGCGCGCTCTTTTGCACAGGTGCAGAAGCATTTTGGTGACATCGGGGTCAGTGGGCAGAGTCTCCCGTCGGTTTTACTACCGGTTCTATAGAACTGGTGCAAACCGGGGGCAACCCACCACTGGCAGCAGGGAGTGTGGAAGGGATTGGGGGGGGGATCTTGGGAAAGGGAAGGTGGGGGCAGATGGAGGCTGAGATCAGGCAGATCCCAGGATCACCACACATCCTTGGACTGGATCCCTCTTGATCTCCTCCTTCACCAAATCCTCTAACTGGCGCAATACTTAGTTGGATTAATGGGAGGATCTGGGGGAGCCCCACTGGTGGTTTCCTCCTGGTTCGCACCGGTTCGCAAGAACCGGTAGTAAAAATTTGTGGTAGTTCGGAGAACCCGTAATAACATTGGCTGGCCACGCCCCCGAACCAGTCCCCGGCCCGGTTACCGCTCGCTTACCCCGCCCACCTCATCAGAGGCTTTTTTTTTTTACTTTGAAAAGCATTTTTTCTGCAACCTCTTCGGCCAAAAAATGCTCAGCTGGGATCGTCAGAGGCTTTTAAAAGCATTTTTTCTGCAACCTCTTAAGGTTTAAAAGTTTTTTTAAAATGGCCACGCCCATCGTTACATTAACCTCCCACCAAGCCACGCCCACAAAATAAGCGACACCCACAGAACTGGTAGTAAAAAATTTTAGTACCCACCCCTGGTGAGCCCCCCGAGAAGGTCCTTTAAAGGTTCACTCCAGCTCAGAGTACTTTGCTAAGTGTTTCTCACTGTTGAGGGATTGTTTTTAATAACTGTTAATTCTATAATGCTGAAGACCGCTCAATTTGTTATTTCTAATTTGAAGCAGAGCTCTAATCTGGTTGCCACCCAGACAAAGAACAACATTTCAGGTGTGGGTTCTTGTTTTTTTCATCATAAGCCCATTTGCATCTGGGAACATTAAAGATCTTTGTGGAATAGCTAAAAAAAAGGCAGCAGCTTTACAAAGTGAAAATCGTGAGTGAGCAAGAAATGCAAATTCTGGATGAGTAGAAATATTTCAGCAAGAAAATGGATGGAGCATTTTAAATAAGTGGAAATTGAAAAGTTTCAAATTGGCATTTTATTGAAAACATCTTGAACTCATATAGATTACTTTTAATAGTTGATTCGGCCTTTCATACTTCTAAGGTCGCTAAAATGAGGACCCAGATTGCTGGGGACAATATGCTGACTTTGTAAATTGCTCAGAGATAAAGTGGTAAAGCATTGTGGAGTAGCATATAAATCTAAGTGGAATCGCTATTGCTATATAGTTTCTCCTGAGCATGGATCCTTCTATGAGAAATAAGAGGACCATTCTGAGCAAAGCTCTTTCCACACTCCATGCATTTATATGGCGTCTCCCCTGTGTGGATCCTCTTATGGGAAATAAGATTACCTCTTAGAGCAAAGGTCTTTCCACATTCCATGCATTTAAATGGCTTCTCCCCTGTGTGGATCCTCTTATGGGAAATAAGATGATCTCTTTTAGCAAAGCTCTTTCCACATTCCATGCATTTAAATGGTTTCTCTTCTGTGTGGATCTTTTTGTGTCTTGTAAGTCCACTGCCATGAGTAAACGTCTTTCCACACTCCATGCATTTATACGGCTTCTCCCCTGTGTGGATCCTCTTATGGGAAATAAGATTACTTCTATGAGCAAAGGTCTTTCCACATTCCATGCATTTAAATGGCTTCTCCCCTGTGTGGATTTTCTTATGGGAAGTAAGATTACCTCTTCGAGCAAAGGTCTTTCCACATTCCATGCATTTAAATGGTTTGTCTCCTGAGTGGAGCTTTTTGTGTCTTGTAAGTCCAGTCCTCTGAGTAAACCTCTTTCCGCACTCCATGCATTTATACGGCTTCTCCCTTGTGTGGATGATCTTATGGGAAGTAAGATTACCTTTTTGAGCAAAGGTCTTTCCACATTCCATGCATTTAAACGGCTTCTCCCCTGTGTGTATTCTTTTATGGGAATTAAGTTTATTGCTATATGCAAAAGTCTTTCCACACTCCATGCATTTATATGGCTTCTCCCCTGTGTGGATTCTTTTATGGGAAATAAAATGACTACTTTGAGCAAAGGTCTTTCCACACTCCATGCATTTATACGGCTTCTCCCCTGTGTGGATTCTTTTATGGGAAATAAGATTACATCTATAAGCAAAGGTCTTTCCACATTCCATGCATTTAAATGGTTTCTCTCCTGTGTGGATCATCTTATGGGAAATAAGATTACCTCTCTGAGTAAACGTCTTTCCACACTCCATGCATTTATATGGCTTCTCCCCTGTGTGGCCCATCTTATGGGAAATAAGATGATGTTTTTGAGTAAAGGTCTTTCCACACTCCATGCATTTATACGGCTTCTCCCCTGTGTGGATCCTTTTATGGAAAATAAGATTACGTTTTTGAGTAAAGGTCTTTCCACATTCCATGCATTTAAATGGTTTCTCTCCTGTGTGGATCATCTTATGGGAAATAAGATTACCTCTCTGAGTAAACGTCTTTCCACACTCCATGCATTTATATGGCTTCTCCCCTGTGTGACCCATCTTATGGGAAATAAGATGATGTTTTTGAGTAAAGGTCTTTCCACACTCCATGCATTTATATGGCTTCTCCCCTGTGTGGCCCATCTTATGGGAAATAAGGTGATGTTTTTGAGTAAAGGTCTTTCCACACTCCATGCATTTATACGGCTTCTCCCCTGTGTGGATCCTTTTATGGAAAATAAGATTACGTTTTTGAGTAAAGGTCTTTCCACATTCCATGCATTTAAATGGTTTCTCTCCTGTGTGGATCATCTTATGGGAAATAAGATTACCTCTCTGAGTAAACGTCTTTCCACACTCCATGCATTTATATGGCTTCTCCCCTGTGTGGCCCATCTTATGGGAAATAAGATGATGTTTTTGAGTAAAGGTCTTTCCACACTCCATGCATTTATACGGCTTCTCCCCTGTGTGGATCCTTTTATGGAAAATAAGATTACGTTTTTGAGTAAAGGTCTTTCCACATTCCATGCATTTAAATGGTTTCTCTCCTGTGTGGATCATCTTATGGGAAATAAGATTACCTCTCTGAGTAAACGTCTTTCCACACTCCATGCATTTATATGGCTTCTCCCCTGTGTGACCCATCTTATGGGAAATAAGATGATGTTTTTGAGTAAAGGTCTTTCCACACTCCATGCATTTATATGGCTTCTCCCCTGTGTGGCCCATCTTATGGGAAATAAGGTGATGTTTTTGAGTAAAGGTCTTTCCACATTCCATGCATTTAAATGGTTTCTCTCCTGTGTGGATCATCTTATGGGAAATAAGATTACCTCTCTGAGTAAAGGTCTTTCCACATTCCATGCATTTAAACGGCTTCTCTCCTGAGTGGATGATCTTATGGGAAGCAAGTGCACTTCTTTGAGCAAACATCTTTCCACATTCCATGCATTTAAATGGTTTCTCTCCTGAGTGGAGCTTCTTGTGGTTTCTAAGTCCATTTTTCAGAACAAAACTCTTTCCACACTCCGTGTATTTATACGGCTTCTCTCCTGTGTGGATCCTTTTATGGATAGTAAGTTGCCAGCTTGCCCTAAAACATTTTCCACATTCCAAACATTTATAAGGCTTCTCTTTTGTGTCAATCGCTTTTGGAGAAGTAAGGAAGTTATTTCCAAGAGAAAGAATGAATGTCCCATTGTAATTTTGTCTGTTGTGTCTTCTTATAGCATCTTCTCCTTTGTTTTGGGTTAAATAGTGTTCATTTACTTGTACTTTAGCTTTGATTAGCTTCACACTTTTCCCAACATATTTTTTCCTTATTCTCTCTTTTTGGGCAAGAAAGTCTTGCATCGGAGCATCAATGGAAGATGAGCTTTCCTGATTCCAATTCTTTGACTGATTTCTCTCATGGCTTTCGAATTCCATTCGAATTCCAAACTTCTCCGTTCCATCTTTAGCATTGATCACTTGGAACAGTTCACAGGAATCTTGATTCTCCTGCCCATTATTACCTTCAAAAGAAAAGGGAAATGAAAATGATAACAAGGTTAGAGAAAAAGATCAAAGCGTAGAAAGTCAAGTGAATTTCCTTCTGAATTTCTCCATAATTCCATTAGGTTGTATGTTTGCATGCTTCCAGGGGTGTGATATAAACATGATGATTTCTATATTCATAAGTCATGAAAGCTTTGAAGATGTCTAGAAAACATCTCTTTCTTTACAATTATCTATGGTACTGTATATATATGCAAACCTCACTCAGTTTAGAGTTAAGGAATAGAACGGAATAACAGAGTTGGAAGGGACCTTGGAGGTCTTCTAGTCCAACCCCCTGCTTAGGCATGAAACCCTACACCACTTCAGACAAATGGTTATCCAACATCTTCTTAAAAACTTCCAGTGTTGGAGCATTCACAACTTCTGGAGGCAGGTTGTTCCACTGGTTAATTGTTCTAACTGTCGGGAAATTTCTCCTTAGTTCTAAATTGCTTCTCTCCTTGATTATTTATTTAAATATTTATTTATTGGTTCAATTTATATGCCGCCCTTCTCCAGAGACTCAGGGCGGCTTACAATGCTTTTTAAGCAATAGCCTTCATACTTTTGTATATACCTGCTTAGTAGGGCTTTCGCCCCCCCCCTCCAAGTAGTGTTCTTATTTATACAAAGTCAGCTTATTGCCCCCACAATCCGGGTCCTCGTTTTACCTACCTCGGAAGGATGGAGGATGAGTCAACCTTGAGCCTGGTGAGAATTGAACTCGCAGTAATTGCAGGCAGCTGGCAGCTAAGTGCTACTTTAACAGCACTTTAGTCTGCTGCACCACCAAGGCTCCTTAGCTTCCACCCATTGCTTCTTGTCCAACCCTCAGGTGCTTTGGAGAATAGCTTGACTTCCTCTTCTTTGGGGCAGCCCCTGAGATATTGGAACACTGCTATCATGTCACCCCAGTCCTTCTTTCCATTAAACTAGACATACCCAGTTCCTGCAACTGTTCTTTGTTTTAGCCTCCAGTCACCTAATCCTCTTCATTGCTCTTCTCTGCACTTTTTCTAAAGTCTCGACATCTTTTTTACATCGTGGCGACCAAAACTGAATGCAATATTTGACCAAATAAAGCTTCTCTTGATCTCGAAGTCTGAGTCCTTTGATTTTCTGCAATACCCCCACAGATAAGTTCAAATATTTGATATTTGATAAATAAATAAATAGAAATGGAAAAATAGAGATAAGAAATGGCACAGAAAGCATCTAAGCAAAGAGACATTGACTCTTTCCTTCTTTGGAGCACGAGAAGATCCTTTCCTTCTCCCTCCCAGGAGACGATATCTGATTAGTGGTTTTTTAATAAAAAAACTAACTATAATTTGTCTTCTTGAACTCTCTGATTGGGGACTAGAGAACTCTTACCCAGAGAGGCCACGTTCCTATGGTTTTCAAGCATGACTTCCGAATGCAGGGCTTTCTGGTCAGGATCCAGCAGAGACCACTCCTCCTCAGAGAAAGACACAGCCACCTCCTCGAAGGACACAAGACTCTCCTGAACACGGAAAAAACAGAACAGAACAGGAGGATTCACAAGATCTGTTCATCTTCATCAATGATTTAGACAAGGGGATAGAAGAAGGGGAACTCATCAAATTGGCAGAGAAGACCAAATTGACAGGAATAGCAACACTCAAGATACAGAAGGATCAACAGATTAGGCCCCATCTAAAAAAATGAAATCAACATTGAGAAATGTAAGGTTCCACATTTAGGAAAGAGAAACCAAATGGACTGGCACAGAAGAAGTGATACCTGGCTGAAGAGTAGTAAGGGCAACAGGGGTCTTGGAGTCCTAGTGGACATCCACTTAAACATGAGTCAGCAGTAGGCTACAGTTGCCAAAAAGAAAGAAAAAAACCCAACAGAATCATAGGCTGCATTAAGAGGGACAGAATCAAGATGACATGAAGTGTTAGTACCACTTTAAAAGGCCTTGGGAAGACCCCACTTGGAATATTGCATCCAGTTTTGGTTGCCAGATGTAAAAAAGGTCTTGAGACTCTAGAAAGAGTGCAGAGAAGAGCAACAAAATTTATTAGTGGACTGGAGGCTAAAATATATAAAGAACGGTTGCTGGAATTGGGTGAGTCTGGTTTCATGAAAAGAAGGACTAGATGGGGTGACATGATAGAAGTGTTCCAAGAAGCAATGGATGGAAACGATTCAAGGAGAGAACCAACCTACAAGTAAAGAGGAATTTCCTGACATTGAGAACAATCAGTGGAATGACTTGCCTCCAGAAATTGTGGGTGCTCCAACACTGGAGGTGTTTATGAAGAAATTGGACAGCCATTTATCTGAAATGTTATAGGGCTTTCTGTCTGAGCAGGGGGTTGGACTAGAAGACCTCCAAGTTCCCTATAAACTCTGTTATTCTGTTTCATTGTTCCCAAATTCCCAAAGTAAAGATGTGCACCAAGTTAAATGGCTGTGCATCACACAAGTCCAGTGGTGTGATTCTGCCGGTTCTAGGCGGTTCGGCTGAACTGTTTGTTAAATTGCTGGCCAGTAATTTTTTTTTTTTAATTTGATTTATATGCCGCCCTTCTTCGGAGACTCAGGGTGGCTTGCAATGCGCTAAGCAATAGCCTTCATCCTTTTGTATATTTATACAAGTCAGCTTATTGCCCCCACAACTGGGTCCTCAATTTACCTACCTTAGAAAGGATGGAAGGCTGAGTCAACCTTGAGCCTGGCGAGATTCGAACCTGCAGTAATTGCAGGCAGCTGGTCTTAATAACAGGGTGCTTTAGACCACTGTACTACCAAGGCTCTTTAACAAATGGTTCGGTGTTTTTTTGCAATTTATTGCAATTTAACAAACGTTTCGGTGTTTTTTTGCAATTTATTGGCCTCGCAGCACACCGAACCTTTTGTTAAATTGCTAGCTCGACCGCCCCTCCTCCCACCTGCGTCGCGTCAGCCTACCCTAGCCCAGGGCTGGGCATTTGTGGCTCTTTTACAACCTGTGGACTTCAACTCCCGCCTAGCCCATTCTGGGGAATTGTGGAGAATTCTGGGAGTTGAAGTCCACAAGTCTTAAAGCTGCCAAGGTGGGAGACATCTGCTGTTACACTGTAGAATCCTTTCAAGCATGAAGATGGCCAAGTATCCTCCTTGAGAGACAACAGTTGAACATCAGGAGGGCTGTTAGAGGGCAGAGCTACATTTGGAAATTTTTGCAGGTGGTGCAATACGATCTGGTGTCTGCAATGGAGAGCAAAATGTGGCTTCTTCTCTCCGCTGTAAGTGCGGCGTCAGGATTCCACCTTGGTATATTTGCGGCACAAGGCAGCCCTCATCTCCTGCCGCTTGGGACTCGGAGCGGTAAACAGTGTCTTGTTCGGGAAGCAGCCGGATTTTGCTCTCCATTGCTCCATTGCTCTCTAGGAAGCTCTCGTCTCTCGAGGAGCGCTCCCTGAAGTGGTGCGGGAAACTTTGGTTGGGCTTCTCGAGAGATGAGAACTTGCAGGGGGCTGAGAGAGCAATGGAGAGCAAAATCCGGCTGCTCCCCGAACCAGATGCTGTTTACCGCTCCGAGTAGGAAACGAGGGCTACCTTGCACCACAAATATACCAAGGTGGAATCCTGATGCTGCACTTACAGCAGAGAGAAGAAGCCGGATTGTGCTCTCCATTGCAGACACTAGATCGGCCACCTGCACGTGAATGAGAGAGAGAGAGTGGGGGAGAGTGGAGGAGAGAGAGAAAGAGGGGGGGAGAGAGAAAGAGAATGAGAGAAAGAGGGGGAGAGGGAGAGAGAAAGAGTGGGAGAGAGAGAAGGGGGAGAAAGAGAATGGGAGAAAGGGGGAGGGAAAGAGAAAGAGGGGGAGAGAGAAAGAGAGAGAAAGAGAGGGGGAGAGAGAGAAGGGGGAGAGAAAGAGAGAATGAGAGAGTGGGGGAGAGAGAGAGAAAGAGGAGGAGAGAAAGAGAATGAGAGAGAGGGAGAGGGGGAGAGAGAGAGAGAGAAAGAGGGGGGAGAGAAAGAGAATGAGGGGGGAGAGAGAGAAAGAGGGGGGAAGAGAAAGAGAATGAGAGGGAAAGATTGGGAGAGAGGGGGGAGAAGGAGAGAAAGAGGAGGAGAGAGAATGAATGAGAGGGGGGAGAGAGAAAGAGAATGAGAGAAAGAGGGGGAGAGAGAAAGGGGGAGAGAGAGAGAAAGAGGGGGAGAGAGAAAGAGGGGGAGAGAAAGAGAATGAGAGAGGGGGGAGAGAAAGAGAATGAGAGAAAGAGTGGGAGAGAGAGAGAAAGAGGGGGAGAGAGAAAGAGAGAGAAAGAGTGGGGGAGAGAGAGAAAGGGGGGAGAGAAAGAGAGAATGAGGGGGGGAGAGAAAGAGGGGGGAGAGTGCCTGAAGGACCCTATCCTGTCACTGGGATTCCAGGTGCTTTAGCAAGTGGCGCGCTGGAATCGGATTAGTGGTCCGCGAAATTTAAAATTATGAACTTGGTGGTCCCTGGGGTCCAAAAGGTTGGGGACCCCTGCTCTGGAGGATTTAAGTAGCTTAACTGTGCTTGCTTGCCAATACCAGAATTACAGAGTTGGTCCCTATGCACATAGCCACGCCCACCCGGTCACGTGACCAGATAGCCACATCTACCCAGTCACATGATCACCAAGCCACACCCCAACTAAGCCACACCCATAGAACCAGTTGTTAAAAAAATTGAATCCCACCACTGCACAAGTCCTAATATTAGGTGAGAAAGTGAGCAAATCTGAACTACTTTCACTGAAGAAATATTTGGGGAAGTTTTATCAAGTTCATTGATTCTGCAAAACCTTCAGTGTCCTTCAGTAAAGTAATCTGAACAGTGAGGCCACTGTTCCTCAGATAGCTGGCTGTGAATCCCTCCTTGTGAAGTGGGGTCATGGGGTGCAAATGGGTTTGCTGACTACGTACCTGGCTCCCTGCCACGTAGCAGCTGCCCTGCCTGAGCTCCTCGACGTAATAGCCGGGGTGGCGGTGGATATCCCCAGGCTTATGGTCATGGGGGATTTCAACCTGCCATCCATCTGTGAAACGTCGGAAGCGGCTCGGCAATTCATGGCTTCCATGACGGCCATGGACCTGACCCAGTTAGTTCATGACCCCACCCACACTGGGGACACACGCTGGACTTGATTTTTGTCTCTGGTCAGTGGTTGAATGATCTTACAATAGGGGACCTAGTCATTAAGTCCTTGTCATGGACAGATCATTCGCTCCTTCAGCTGGACTTTCGGACTGCTGCCCCTCGCCGCAGGGAGACGGAACCGACCAGGTGGTTCCATCCCAGGTGCCTGATGGACCCCGAGAGGTTCCTGACGGAGCTTGGGCCATTCCCAGAGGCTCTGACTCACAGCTCAGCTGAGGAACTGTTGGCCGCCTGGGACAGGGCAGCCGCCGGAGACTTGGACCGCATCGCGCCTTTGCGGCCTCTGACTCGGTGCCGTTCTCAATTGGCTCCTTGGTTCTCTGAGGAGCTGAGAGAGATGAAGCGCCGAAAAGACGCCTAGAGACCGATTGGAGGTCTAGCCGCACTGAATCTGACCGAACACTGGTGAGGTCTTATATCAAGACCTAACGAGTGGCAATAAGAATGGCAAAATCTAACTATTTTTCCACTCTTATTGCATCTGCAGAGAACCGCCCAACTGCCCTGTTCAGGGTGACCCGCTCTCTATTACAGGTGGGAGGGAGGGAGGAACCCTTGCAGGGTAGAGCTGAGGATTTTGGACAATACCTGCATGATAAAATTGCTCAGATTCGGGGCGGCCTGTACTCTGATTGGATAGCCTTGGACCAGATGACGGAGGTGAGTCTTGAGAGTGTTATCTGGGAGGCGTTTGACCATGTGACTCCTGAGGACGTGGACAGGATTTTGGGGAGGCTTAACGCTACCACGTTTACTGGACCCGTGTCCCTCCTGGTTGGTGCTGGCCTCCCGGGAGGTTACCCGAGGCTGGTTTCAGGAGATTACCAACGCTTCGTTGAGTGAGGGTGTCTTCCCATCCGCCCTGAAACAGGCGGTGGTGAGGCCCCTCCTCAAGAAGCCTTCCCTGGACCCGGCTGTATTAGCTAATTATCATCCTGTCTCCAACCTCCGCTTCACGGCGAAGGTTGTTGAGAGTGCGGTGGCGAGACAACTTCCTCGATTCCTGGATGAAGCTGTCTATCTAGATCCATGCCAGTTGGGCTTCAGGACGGGTTACAGCACGGAAACAGCATTGATCGCATTGGTTGATGATCTCTGGAGGGCTTGGGACAGGGGTTGCTCCTCTGTCCTGGTCCTCCTAGATCTCTCAGCGGCTTTTGATACCATCGATCATGGTATCATGCTGTGTCGGCTAGAGGGGGTCGGAGTGGGGGGCACCATGCTACGGTGGTTCTCCTCCTTCCTCTCTGACCACACGCAGTCTGTGTTGACGGGAGGGGCAGAGATCGACCTCGAAGTTCCTCACTTGTGGGGTGCCGCAAGGGTCAGTCCTCTCGCCCCTCCTGTTTAACATTATGCTGATGACACGCAGTTGTACATTTCAACCTCAGGCCACCCCAATAATGCCCTTGACGTGATGTCCCGTTGCCTGGAGGCAGTGCAGATCTGGATGGGGAGGAACAGGCTCAGACTCAACCCCTCCAAGACTGAGTGGCTGTGGCTTCCAACAGCCCGATATAGTCAGCTAACACCATCGCTGGCTATTGGGGATGAGATCTTACCCCCCTCAGAGAGGGCTCGCAACTTGGGCATCCTCCTGGATTCACAGCTGTCTTTGGATGATCATAAGACGGCCGTGGCCAGGGGGGCTTTTTATCAGATTCGCCTGATCTCCGAGTTGCGTCCATTTCTGGATCGGGACGCCATGCACACAGTCACTCACGCCCTCATCACTTCCCGTCTGGACTATTGTAATGCTCTCTACATGGGGCTCCCCTTGAGGAGCACCCAGAGGCTCCAATTGGTCCAGAATGCAGCTGCGCAAGTAATAATGGGGGCGACTCGTCGTTCCCATGTAACACCCCTCTTGCGCAAGCTGCACTGGCTCCCGGTGGTCTTCCGGGTGCATTTCAAGGTGTTAGTTACCACCTTTAAAGCGCTCCATGGCTTAGGACTTGGTTATCTACATCCGCATTCTGCCACCGATTGCCTCCCACCGACCATTACGCTCCCACAGAGAGGGCTGTCCTGAGTCCTTCAGGAGAAGGACGGTATATAAATATAATAAAAGTAAAAGTAAAAGTAAAAGTAATCCCACTTCTGGATCAACTGATCTATCGCTCTGTCTATCATTGATTGATCTAGTAGTCTGAGCCATTGGCTGAAAGGAAGAAAACAAATAAAGAGAAAATTCCCTGGGAAATTCATTCCTCAGCCTTTGCAAAGTGGGAATGTTTGATCTCCTAATCGAGGCTCAAGTCAGAGGATTGGAAATTATTTTGTAGCCCAGAGTACCTGGATTACATGTTCAACAGGGCCACTCCCTTTGGATTTTAATAGTCGGCTTTATTTTTTAATACAATTTGCTTATTTTTGAACTACTGGTTATAAAGGCTTTTTAAAAATGGTAATGAGGTAATTTGGGTATTTAGTTATTTTTCATTAGCCTTGCACAATTCCGAGTCAAAGAATTCTCCCCCAAAAAGGGTCTCTAGCAGTTACTGTCACTGCGATACGTTTACTCTTGAAGGACTTTTTAAAAATTGCTTCTTATAAACTCAAAGTTGGAGGAGTACCTAGCAGAGCAAGATAACCAGAGGAAGCTATGCTGGCTGACAGGAACTTGAACCTGCCATTCTGCTCTCCATGTTGTGGAAGAAGAGAAAAATAATCCAGCCCAAACAAGGGGGGGGAAATAGAAGGAGGGAGCCCTCTGCACACCCACTTCACTTCCCGAAGGGAGAATAGAAATCTAATATCTTTTCCCTTTCTTACTTGATTTGGAGATTCAACCACTGTTTGATCCCCGTCATAAAAACCAGAAAGCTTCATTCTTTGTTTCTCTGTAAGGAATAAATAATTTCAAAATCCATAATTAACAAAATAGGAGATATTCTATAGAAGAGAAGAGAGAGCGAAGTTAAGACTGATGGGAAATCGGAGGATCTTCCATTACCTCCTGAGATGTCCTGACTTGGATCTTCCCAAGGGATCCACCTGAAAAACAGCTCCTGAGGGGGATTTGATGGGTTCTTCTTTCCCTCAGGATCTCTGATCTCCACAGTGCAGCACTTCCAATAGGAGGAAGGAAGAAGCAGAATTAATGTACATCACGCGACGTAAAGTGGATTCCTATATTCAGAACGCCACCTCAAAGACCCCAATATCCATCCGTGAGGTTGAATGAGAAACAATGGAACAATGTCCTACAAGAATAGGTGGGACATTGCCACATATTATGAATGTTACAGAAGTTTGGGAAGGAAGGGTAAAGTATTCAAACACATTCTCTATTCTCTTTTGAACTCTTACCTGCAATTCGACCTGCTCCTTCTGCTCCTCTGCCTGGCTCAGGAGGAGGCCTTCCGCCAGAGCCACTGCCTGGGAGCTGGTCTCTGCTCCACACTCCCGCACCCACCTCTCCATCTCTGGGGGCAGAAGGAACAGGAGCTGCTCCAGAACCACCAGGTCCAGCATCTGGGCTTTGGTGTTCTTCTCTGGTCTCAGCCATTGCCTGCAAAAGCCATGGAGTCGGCGGCAAAGTCCTCGGGGACCCTCAGCCTCCCAGTATTGGATGGAGGTCCAGGGCTGAACTTCTGAAGGGAGGATGGTTTCCTCCTCCAGGATCTTCTGCCAGGGTCTTGTCCAGAGCTTCGCCCCCTTCCCAGGCTGAGCAGCTGAAGGGCCTTTTCCAGCTCCCTCCTTTCCAAAAGGTTGTGTCTCCATCCTTTCTCTGTCCTGCAGAGCAACTGCAAATGGCTCCAAGGACTCTGGTGGGTCTCCAGATGCCTTTTCCTTCACGGGACCATTTCTGGTGCTGCAGGACTGATCCCTGCAAGGGATTCCGCTCTTTTTCTTCTCCCCCCAAGAGTAAAGTTTGCCTTGCAAAGACCACAAATGGCTTCCAGTTTCGGTATCTGAGATGGGAAGAAAAAGAAACGCTAGACTCACCCGGAGCCTCTCCATAAGTCCTAGAGAGGCAAGGCTCCAGTGGACCAATGGGGAAGTGCCTGGAGTCACCTTCCCTTGGCAGAGGGCGCCCCCTGGTGGATTTGGTGCAAAGTGCCAGGATCGTAGAAAGGGCGGGAAAGAGGAGTGAATGGGAGGGGGAAGGGAGAGGGCGGGGAGGATGGGCTTGGGAGTGGGAGGAAAGGCCCCTCCCAACGGCTCTCTGTCAGACAAAGGCTTCAATGTCTGTGCTTCTTTTCCCCCTTTTATATCAACCCAAATGCATTGAAGGAGGTTTTTCCTCTTTCTTCTGTTGCGTTTCTAGAGCTGTTGATTATTTCTTATATACATATAATGGAACTCCACCTCTACCTCTTTCATTCGGCCTGCTTCTTATTTATGGAATGGAAGGGAAGGGAAGGGAAGGGAAAGGAAGGAGAAGAGAAGAGAAGAGAAGAGAAGAGAAGAGAAGAGAAGAGAAGAGAAGAGAAGAGAAGAGAAGAGAAGAGAAAAAATAAAATAAATATTCTTTCTGGCAGCCGCTGAGATATCAGAAGATGCCATCATGTCTGCCCTCCTCCTTCTTTTCATCAGACTAGAAAATACCCAGTTCCAGGAACCAAGTTTTTTAAATATGTTTTTGCCTCCATCTTTGTTGCTTTTCTCTGCACTCTTTCTAGAGTCTCAAGGTCTTATTTATTATACAAAACACAAAGAAAAATAGAAATAGGAAATTAAGGAAAGGAGAAATAGAGGGGGAAAGAAAGTTTGAGGTACAAGAAAAAAAAGGGGGGGGGAAGTTGACTTCTTTTTAGCACAGTGCAAGGAAAAAAAACAATTATTCCAACCTGACAATTCCATCTAATGGACAAAAGCAAAGTCATTTTAGGTCTGTTTCCTTTGAACACTTTAAATGTGAAGATATTCAATTTAATGGCTGAAGAAGGTTAAGTGCCCAATGGTCTTGAAGATCCAGTTGTGGCTGAGGGGATTTACGCTCTGATTGGTTGCTGTGGGTGGAAAGGGGGCGTTTCCCTTTTTTCCGCCTTTTCCTTCTGGGCGCCGTTTGAGATTTACCTCAGGATGTTCCTGACTGTCTTCTCTGCTGCGAATCTTAAATTCATTTATATGGATATAAAACTAACAGTTTGTGTCCGTATCTCCCTCTTCCATTGGACAGCAGCTGCGTATTTCCTCCACATTAAACCTCTTCAGTTGCACTTTTCAGTCGAGGGTTTTGATTTTATCTCCTGATTCTGACAACGAGGAGGCTGGTGTGGTGCAGTTCACCCTGTGCAGCTGGCACTCGAGTCAGACAATGAGGAGGCTGGAGAAGATGTGGTGCCAGACGCAGGGATTCAGCCAGGGCCTTCAGAACCTGGTGGGGACCTCGGCTGTAGAAAAGTCGGCACAAGGCCGCTAACCAGCGGACCAGCTAGCAGCCTGATCGCAAAAGTGATCCTCACAATTACAATAATAAATCTCTTTGAAAGCTCACGCTTAGATGATCACAGAATGAAAGGTGAAGCCGCTCATTCAAACACGTCTCTCTGCGCTGAAGACTGAGCCGAACTGTGGAAGCACCAGGCGAGAAAGGAGGGACTACATGTGCAAATTATGATCACGTGCTCAGTCTCCAGGCAGAACCGAGCAACACCCATCCTATCCTGGATTCTCTCGAAGCAGCTCCAGGGAAAATAACATGTTTTTATTCCCTTTCAACCCCCTCCCCCAAGGCAGGCCCACACTGCAGGGGGTGGTTGATAGGCAGGGACTGATAGAGGGAGAATAGGCTCATTTCATGGAGGAAAAGGCTGGGAAGGACCAGGGATTCCTCCCCATTTCATCTGCAGAGGATTCTGGAATTCTCCCTCAATGACTTAATTAGAAGATTAATCAAGAAGGGAGGGCCCACTTCCCCTGCTCCCACTCTGCAGAAGTTTCATACGAACAGAGAAGATGGGGCTAGGATGGGGGTGGCAGCAAAGGAGGGAGCCTGGGGGTCGCTTGGCTGGAAATTGAGTCAAATGTCACAAGGAAAAGGGGGGTCAAGAAGAACTGGCCACAAAGTTGGGGTGCTCTCTCCCCAAGGGAGGAATGGGAAGGAATGTCCCTCCTCCTTCCCTTCCCATTTGCAATTTCCCAAAACGTGGAAAAATTCTGGGCAAGATTTTGGTGTTTGTGCGTGCTTTTCTTTTTCATTGCAATACTTTTTCAGGTCTCTGTAAGGAAAAGCTGCCCAAAATCTCCAAAATTTCCTTGTCCGGCCACCTGTTCTTCAGCCACTGGACCTCAACGGGTAAAAGCCCATTGTGGTTCACAAGGAGGATGGTGTTGGGGGAAACGGGGTCCATTGTGGTGGAGGAGATGGTGACGGTGGGCTTGGCTGGAGGGAAGGGAGAGAAGGAGGCACAGGAGAGGCACAGGAGGACCCAGAACGGAACGCCAAGTTGGTTACTTCAGATGCCACATGGGACTGACTGACCATGCAGAGCCATGCCAAGATCCTTGCTGAGGGGGGATTTGGGGGAATGCAAAGGGAGACCCCCCAGACCAGGCTCTGCCTGCAGATGGCCAGCCTCCTTCCAGGTGGGGAGGGGTCCGAGTCCCAGATGGCAGCTTGGCCGGGATGGGGTGGCAGGGGTGGGTTCTACTTACCTTTACTACCGGTTTGCAACGGGGCCGCACACTCTCGCTTCACTCACGCGCTCTTTTGCACAGACGCAGAAGCATTTTGGTGACGTTGGGGTCAGTGGGCGGAGCCTCCCGTCGGTTTTACTACCGGTTCTATAGAACCAGTGCAAACCGGGGGCAACCCACCACTGGCGGCAAGAAGTGTGGAAGGGATTGGGGGGGGATCTTGGGGAAAGGGAAGGTGGGGGCAGATTGCGGCTGAATCAGTAAGATCCAGGGATCACCACACATCCTTGGACTGGATCCCTCTTGATCTCCTCCTTCACCAAATCCTCTAACTGGCACAATTCTTAATTGGATTAATGGGAGGGTCTGGGTGATCCCCAGTGGTGGGTTGCTCCTGGTTTGCACCGATTCGCAAGAACCGGTAGTAAAAATTTGTGGTAGTTCGGAGAACCCGTAATAACATTGGCTGGCCACGCCCCCGAACCAGTCCCCGGCCTGGTTACCGCTCGCTTACCCCGCCCACCTCATCAGAGGCTTTTTTTTTTTTACTTTGAAAAGCATTTTTTCTACAACCTCTTCGGCCAAAAAATGCTCAACTGGGATCGTCAGAGGCTTTTACAAGCATTTTTTCTACAACCTCTTAAGGTTTAAAAGTTTTTTTAAAATGGCCACGCCCATCCAGTTACATTAACCTCCCACCAAGCCACGCCCACGAAATAAGCAACACCCACAGAACTGGTACTAAAAACTTTTAGTACCCACCCCTGGTGAGCCCCCCAAGAGGGTCCTTTAAAGGTTCACTCCAGCTCAGACTACTTTGCTAAGTGTTTCTCACTGTTGAGGGATTGTTTTTAATAACTGTTAATTCTATAATGCTGAAGACCGCTCAATTTGTTATTTCTGATTTGAAGCAGAGCTCTAATCTGGTTGCCACCGAAAGAACAACATTTCAGGTGTGGGTTGTTCTTGTTTTTTTTTCATAATAAGCCCATATGCATCCGGGAACATTAAAGATCTTTGTGGAATAGCTAAAAAAAAGGCAGCGGCTTTACAAAGTGAAAATCGTGAGTGAGCAAGAAATGCAAATTCTGGATGAGAAGAAATATTTCAGCAAGAAAATGGATGGAGCATTTTAAATAAGTGGAAATTGAACAGTTTCAAATTGGCATTTTATTGAAAACATCTTGAACTCATATAGATTACTTTTTTAGGTTGCTAAAATGAGGACCCAGATTGCTGGGGACAATACGCTGACTTTGTAAATTGCTCAGAGATAAAGTAGTAAAGCATTGTGGAGTAGCATATAAATCTAAGTGGAATCGCTATTGCTATATAGTTTCTCCTGAGCATTGTTGCGTAATTTTGAGGATCAGACTCAATAAATGATTCAGGAACGAAGTACTTAAACAAAGCACTATTTATTTACAGTAGGCATTCTATATTCTCTGAATGATCGTAGATAGAAGCAAGTGGGAGGTCCATACGTCCCCTTTTATACCAGCGAGGCGGAGTAATGGATGGGAGTGGTTACATGTGAATACATTAAGAAGGAGATATAAATTAACCCCTGATATTCTGTGAATATACATTTTCCCCATTTGAGAATAAGGCATTTACTTGTGACAAATCCCCCTCTAAATGCCGATTCGATATACAACAATAATTACATTGAGATTCAGAACAATATAAAACTTGTAGTTTAGAAGTTAAATATTTGTGTTGTTTAGATGGCAAAGGCTTAGTCAATATGTCAGCTATTTGTTCTGAGGTTTCGCAGTGAATGGCTTTAATAAATCCATCCTGAGATAATTGTCTTACGTGTTTGAATTTGATATCTATATGTCTGGATCTTTGACCAATAGCATCAGATCTAGATATCTCAATAGCAGCTTTGTTATCTTCATGTATGATAAATGGTAATGAAGGATTTTTCCAAACATCTGATAATAAATCATTAAACCATACAAGATTATTGGAGGCTTTAGACAAACAAACATATTCTGCCTCGGTTGTTGATGTGGCTACTAAATCTTGTTTTCCAGTATACCAGTAGACTGGACAATCGTTAAGAAAGAATATATAACCTGAGGTGCTTTTTCTGCTTTTAGTATCACCTGCCCAATCCGCATCAGCGTAACAAGTGAGGATGGGCTCTTTGATATTATTGGGTTCTAGTAGTAGGCAGAAGTCTAAGCTGTGCTTTAAATACCTTAATATTCGTTTAATGGCTTCCCAATGATACATTAAGGGTTTACCAACATATCTGGATAACAGATTGAGGGGTAAAGCAATATCAGGTCTAGTCCAATTAGATATATACAAAAGGGAA